TCACCCTCCGGCTGTGCCGGTCTTCTGTCAAACGGTGTAACGGGAGACACTCAAACACACGCACACTCACGCACGCTCGCTGTGTCGCAAACAGACGCTTACAAACACACATTCACCCAAGCACTCTGCATAAGTTGATGGAGTAATGAGCCTGATCTAAACAGAGGGACGAAATTCGACGTTTCTCACCTTATTGTCGTCGCCTCGTTCGAGTGATCCTGGAAGACCGCAGAGTAATAGAAAGAGTGACGATGTTCTCAAATCATCACCGAAAATCTAGATCGACGCGCAATGGCGCATGAGTCTTGCATTTCTAGGAGCAGTATACCCACGCGCCCGCCTGACGCGGGTAGCGGTCCCTTGTCGGTCCCGACCTTCGTCTCCCGTCTCGCTCCCTCCAGAGAGGAGACGCCGCCCGACCGCTACGCACTGCAGACTTGCACACTGTCTTGTTGGTGTGTGTGTGTGTGTGGGTGGCGGTGGGTCTGTGTGGGGGAGCGCCTGTCTGGCTGTCTGGCTATGCCAGAGCGCCGCCCAGGACGACTCGCGCTGTTCACACATTCAGACCGATAGGGCCGCCTCTATGGAGTCTGCGCTGCGGCCCGAGCAAATGGCCTTGCGGCAATAACCACGGCTGCAGGGAAGGACAAGACGCAAGAGTTATGACCACGAGAGAGTGTGAGAGAAATAGAGAGAAAGCGAGAGAGAGAGAGAGAGAGAGAGAGAGAGAGAGAGAGAGAGCGACGGGGTGAGGGGTGGCGCCTCTGCATGGCTGCAGGGCGTGGCCTTCCACCTCATGTGCGCCCCGGTTTATCACTCGCCTCCTGGCACGGAGTTCGGAACGGCGTCCCTCTCTCTCTCTCTCTCTCTCTCTCTCTCTCTCTCTCTCTCTCTCTTCACTCTCCCTCTCTCTCTCTCCACTCTCCCTCTGTCACTCACTCCCTGCAGCTCTAAGACGAAACAACAACATCAACAACAACAACATATTCTCATTAGTCGGCGCAGGATCCCCGTATCGCATCGCATCGGGGACCTCGGTGACCGGGGTGAAACTCGAACACTAACGCGGTTATGGTCAACACTCGCGGCCGCCCCGCCCCTTAGCACCGCCCCCGGCCAACGCAACTGCTCGCCGTTTGATGCCCCGCCGAGAAACTACGTTACTACCACACCAACTCATACTCCAGCCCTCCAACTCGTTGCAAACAATCCCTCACCCCTCAACCGAACCCTCCCTGTCTCCCGCTCTCGCACTTCTGTTTGGCGAATCTCTACCTCTCCTCTCTCTCTCTCTCCCTCCCTCTCCCTCTCCCTCTCTTTGTTTCTGTCTCCCAAACCTATGTACACACCTGCCGATACCTATACACGGCACGGAAATGGTCTATGTTCGACGGTCCGTAAGGTCCCACACACGGAATTGTGTATAGGCTGGACCCCACATCTACTTACGAAACATGTTCACTAAGCTGCCATACCCACAGTCAGTTTCTACTTCTCCCCCCCCCCTCTCTCTCTCTCTCTCTCTCTCTCTCTCTCTCTCTCTCCTCCCACGCTTAGCCCTCTGCACTACGCCGCATCAAGCAGTCCGTCTTAGTACAAGAGCGGCGCGGTCCCGTTCGCGTCCAAAGACGACGCCCCCTTTTGTGCCTCGAATATTAAATAACTGCCTAGAGGGAGCCGGCCCTCTCCGTTAGGAGGCACCCTTCCTCGCCCTCCTCTTGCTCCTTCTTACCAACTTCACCCTCCCTTCTTCCCCCCTTCAGTCCCTCCCTCTTATTTCTCGCGCTCTCACGTCCCCTCACCTCCGGGATGGTTGAGGTAGGTAGGCTAACGGATGTGAGCTGCTGGACCTTTGGACCTCAAAAGCGGTCTGTCAGCCATCCCCAAGCTCGCCCCCGCCTCGCCCTGCCACGCACTATCAGCAGGCACGGGCGGGCGAGAGCAACCCCACTCACCGCCACACACACACACACACACACACACAGACATGCCGGTGGCTTGTTTACTCCAAGTTTCCGGCCCGGAACTTTGGCAACACACTGTATAATGTGGTAATCTTGTCGCCAAAGGTTCCCCCCGGCCCTGCTCTCTCCTGTCGCGACGGTGAACAGGTGCACTATAAAGTTTCGCACAGCTTTGGGCGCCTTTCCGTGCGTGAGTTTTCCGTCCGTGCGGGTGGTAGCAAGTTGAAGAGAGGACGGTGGTGGTGGC